TTCGCTCATTTGCAATAGTTTCCGAGGCGTAGGAGACTTATGCCATAGCTACTACTGTAGTTGGGTACGACAGCTCGATGAGTCTCACTCATTTTCGGCTCCGCGAAAAGGTGAGTTGCGAGCAGTTGCTGCTGTTAGATATGAACAGTGATCAGCTCATATGTTTTAGCCTAAGTGTGGCGATCTGTCCTTTGCTTGGTATTGTCAAACATTAGATTCATATCATACAATGCCTTTTAAAGTATAGGTTCAAAAGAGAAATATTTCATCAGCAAGGTTGGTTCCTCGTGTGGAAACCTAGAATATTCGACACATGGAGAAAATGTATGTTTCTAGTGATTATTGTGACCACTTCCGCTCACCATATTGAACAGCAACACTGAAGTTTGCCATCTTCTACAGTATTTGCCCAAAAACTAGACTATGAGATTTGGGTCATAACTGGGTACAGCAACACTAAGAAACTCTTTACTCCATAGTATTTAATGAGTGTTCCTGAAGAACTGTGAATAATATTTGGGTTCTGCGAATAAATTCGTTGCCTGTACCTTTTTTTGTCATAGAAAAGAGAAGATATCATCAGTTGAGGGATAGAGCAAGGTTATCCTTGCTCAATTGAAAGGTACCCGTATCAAGTGAGAGTGGAAAACCCTTGTGTTATGTATGTGTCCAACTTATGACTATCCTTTTTCCGTGCGCGTGAGAGATTTATAAAAAAGGTGAGCTATTTTACTCACACGTAGTCGTCAGTGGAAGTCGTTTGAGTCCTCGTATTCAGAATGTGCCTTCTCTAGGAGTCGAAGAGACCAGAAGTCGAATGAACGGAGAGCGAGATGTTCTGGACGGAATATATTCTATTCATTACTTTTGCAAAGAGAAAAAAATCTCCTTGGGATCTTCGTATCAGATTGAATGGGAGCTCAAGCTTTCATCAGATGATGTAGCTGTTGCAAACATCGGTAACAAGAAGATTTCAATATATTTATTGCATACATATCAGTGGGATAGTGGGGAGAAGACAGAGCGGACCCTGCGACGGCGCGGGACTAATGTTAGGGAGAAGAAGAAAAGAAGAACAACAACAAGAAGGGGAGGAGCCCGAGGCAGTCGTCGCCGTCGTCGCTGTAAGTTGTTGAGTCTAAACTCATGTCTCTGGCCGGCTATTGCTTACATACTCGCTCATGCTATTGCATTATGCTGACTTCTAGACGACAGCTGAACAGTTGGCCGTGACTACATCCTCCACTATGGATACGACGAATACGACAGCGGGACAACTGGGGAGGGAACAGAACTGCTACTTACAATGGCCGCATTCGCTTTTCAATGTGAAGCCGCGAAAAATAAATAGCTTGAGAGCTTGAGGACCAAACTACTTGTACAAGGAAAGCGCGTGCGAGTTGCTCGAGCGCAAGGACTGTCTTTAACTTGCGTTATGGCGTGCTGGAGAATCCGCTACAAGGATACGATAATATCAGGTTGTGTACAAATAAATCGCACTTTTTCCACATTTTAACATACTGTTGTCGTGTATTATTCATTTGACGTTTATACTGTTGTACCTTATTTTGAAGCTTACCTAGCGGTCTTTCGTTTTTTGACTTGCATTTGCAATGCGTGAACTTCATTCTTCGAAAATTTCAGGCAGAATGTCTAAGATGCTCTCCAAGGAGCGAATTCGTAGTTCTTCGCTTCATGGGTTAAAACTTGGACGGAAGGCTGAGTATCATGAAAATTGTGAAAGCATCGGGACCAGATGTCTTTTCAATTCGTAGTACTCAACTCTGTTTCCAAAAGTTCCGATCCGGAAGAAGCACCTTCAGGATGAGCCTGCTGGAAGTCGGATCCTTAAACTTGATGACGACTGCTTGTAGTCACTGGTGGAGTCAGATCCACGAATGCTGCTCGTAGTCAGCGAAACGTCTTTGAGTGCCATTTTGGACCGTCGTCAAGCATATGGGAATTTTGGAAAAGTGAAAAATATGTACCAGTGGGTATCCATGAATTGAATGTTCAATAGATTTTAAAATTTCAGTTTTCAAGACAAGTCTCACGAAAAGCGCTTCAGAAGATATGCTAGAAGCTCTGATAGGAACATTGCTTCATCCGGCATGCTCACCAGACCTGTCGCCAAAGGTTTACAATATTCTCGACCATCTCAACAACTTCGTCAAGGACAGGGCGTTCAAGAGACGGACCGATGCTAACGGCTTAATTGCTTCCAGGAGTTCGGCTATTACTTCTAGGAGTTCGGATTTCTACGGCAAAAGTATTTACTACCTTGTGAAACGTCGGCAGAAAGTTATGAGGAGGATATTCTTCACGAGTTGCTCGATGTAACCGCCAGCGCTCACCTTCAGTCCGGGGCCCACGAAGAAAATATTGGTCTTTCCATTCCAGGTACGTCCGGTCCATACCATCAACCCGCGCCTTGGCGACTGTGGTGAAGATGATGTCCTAGACCGTGGCGACGTTGTCGGAGCTGCTCGATGTTGGAGTCATCCAGATCGAGAGTACTGGTCTCCAGGTAGCTATCCATGGGTGACTCCATACTAGAAGTTTCGCAGCTGTTTGGAGGTGACATGAATTCCAAAGGTCTTCTCCAGTCAGGCTGCGACTGGAGATGACTTCATATTTTGGTGTACATGAAGGTGATGGGCGAGGGCCAGCTCCTGCTTATAGAGGAACATGTATCTTCCGCCCTGGTACTCGTATCCACATCCTCTGTCTGCAGCGAAACTTTGCTGATATGTGACTCGGTCGAAGTGACTTTTTTTGGCTCTCCCCCCTGTATCTTGTTTCGCTGCAAACAAAAATGCGTAGTTGCTACGAGAGTGAAGCTTTATCTGAATTGTCGCCAACCCATTTTAGGGGTGTAAATACACTCATCCGAAAACTAGCTCTAGTAATGAATAGAAATGGATATGCGCCCTAGTCCAACTTTGTGTTGTCGAGCGAAGGCCGAGCGTCTGGCTTATGCTCGTGGGGAAACAACGCTGGGTTGCGGGGCAGCCAAAAGGCGTCGCAAATGGTGTCTTCTGCTAGAGGTCCACACTAAGACCTAACTAATGTAACATTAAAGCGCTACAGAAAGCTGAGTCAGCTAGTTAGGGAATACCAGCAAATTTGTGCGCGTTACTGAAACATGAACGTAACGCCTCACACCCGATCATGCAGGTTCACAGTCTATAGGGGCAAGTTGCCACTTGAAGGGCCAGCTGCCGATCAAATCCAGCCTCCTCTCTGAAACTACGGAAAGTGCAGTTATGACTGCACCATTTCGCTGTTTGTCCATAAGTGCGCTTGATTTGTTGTTCACGGGTCAGTGCTACCTTTCCCCCCCCACCCGCTTACCCCTTTCCCCCTTCAGTCCCGCTTCCTATACATAAAAACAGAAGTGCATCGCCGGTGCAAATAGGTGAAGAAAGGTCTTAAAGTGCCTTACGCAATCAAACGTCATTCAAATCATCCGCTCAAGAATAGGTTATATCAGAGTATACTCCTTATCCCTGAGCCAGAGTAGGCGTGGCATTTGAACATGGCACGGAATGGGTTACTCATGGAATATTCCAGTCTGGGATCATCTTGTTCTATGTTGGAAAGAAACATGACTATGATTGTGTCAAGAAGAAAATATCTCACCAGAAGCACAGCCACCGCCATGTTTGGTTGAAGTGCGCAGACACGCGTACTCGATCTCACCATCAGGGATTTAGAGTATATATTAAGACAGAAGTGGAATTACGGCAAATGAGCAGTTCCATTTGAGAACAGAGCAAGTATATCAGACTTCGGATCGCAGTGGTGGAAATTGGTCGAAGATAATCGTCTTAACAATTAGTCAGGTCATCTGGTAATCGAATTTTACTGCCCAGTGGACGTGAATATTTTGTGGAACCATACGGAGGGTTCCTTTTCATTACTTCTGTTAAAAGAGGAGGTGAGGTCATTGGAGGTGAAGCCGCATAACACGCTCACGATCTTCAGGTCGGATCTTTCGCTGTTTGGTTTATGCTAGTGCCAGCCAAAGCTTCCATCCTTCCTCAGCCAATAATCTGGTACCAGACTCGTCTACGGGATAAAAACAGTGACGTGTACATTGCCGGGCAGGTCATAGTATTATAAGCCATATTGCATTCAAATGCCCACTACGGTTCTGAGTGCAGGAACAAACGTAGCGCATAAAAAGGCTTGATCAGCACTCAAAGCTTTAATCATTTGGCATTCACCCTTCAAGGTAAAAAGAACAACTGCATTTTGTGGACAGCGTCAATTACGAACCTATGGTCGCTAGCGGACTCTCCAAGGAGGAAAAAAGCAAAAAAAGGAGGGCCCTTCGAGCAACCACCCTTTCGCTATACGAGCTGCCCAGAACTACTCGTTTTGAGCCAGCAACTTGAGGTTTCGCCACTACTGCCTCCCAAGTCGTTTCTTCGCGTCATTCAGGGTAAATACTACCAAACAGTGGGAAAAGAAAAACACGTTGTAGAAATGAAACACGTAACAGAAAATAACCTTGGAGACTTGGTGGGCGACGAGAGAGACTCGAGGAAGCAGCAAGCTTGACCACATGAGTGGCCACAGCGCTTCCCTTACTTACTGTGAAGCCGCGATAAAGGGACAGTCTTGGAGACTGCGGACCGCCTACTTGAACAAGGAAGGACGTCTACGAATCGGCTGAATGCGGGGAATATCTTCAGTGAACAAATGTTATAGGAGGTAAAGTAGGAAAGAGAAGATTGAAGATTCACTGTCAGTAAGAAAGCACTAAACGGAATTTGTTTTTCTTTTTCAACAGAATTGAAAAAACCAGTTTTTTAGTCACACCCTACCAATAGATCTTACGTAGAGAAGTTTGCTGAAGAACAGTGACCCTCCCTCGCCCCAATTCTATAAAAACGCCCTCTGTAAAAATATTGAACAGTCTTCTGCAACTATAATGGCACTACCATTATCATGCTTCCTGCTCGGCTTCAACTTCTGCCATCCTTTACGTCGATATGATGCCCCATATGGTTCCTGTTAACATGCCCGTTCCGGTACCAATGTTTGTACCGCAAGTGGTACCCTTCTACGTACCATCGATTCCCACTCCAGGTGTTTTAGTCGATGAAGGAGCGACAAAGGGCAGTAATGGCAAGAAACCCGTAGTTTACTACAGAGCGTTCAATGACAAGTAAGTTGGTAATTTCAGTGTAAGTTTCACTTTGAATAGATTTGAAGTAGTACCGATTGCAAGGGAATGGTATGGGGTAATCGGGTTCTAGCAAGTCTCAGCTATTCTCACTATGGTTGGCTAATCACGTTATGTCCTCCTGCTCGTGTCATTGTTTTTTTTGCGATTTTCCTTCCTTCTTTGAGTCTTCAAGCTCATTGCTCCTGTAAAATCTCTTTTTCACGAGTTGAGCCGCATATTCTTGCTGGAATATTGCATGCTGGACCTATGAGCGGAGCGGGGCTGCGTCGGAAGCCCAATGTTACGTTTTTCTTGTTGTTGTTTATTTGCTAACTGTTGATTATTTTCTCGTTGATGGCCCCTCCGACACGACGAGCTCAGATATGTTTTTTTTACTCAATCTCACATTCTGTGTCGGTTTCGCATCAAATCCTACATAACGTTGAACTGAAAAAAAAACAAAAACTGGGATCACTTTCAGCCTCAACAAGGAAGACGAAATTTCAAATTTTGCCCGCGACAGTTTCCGAACGTAATACTATGGAATAAGAAGTAAGGACGCTGGTCCAAAATGCATTGCGCACTGTTAGTCCCTAGTCGCGACATTGCGCGCAGGGTATTTCATTCTTAGACGACTCAACGCAGCGATTGAATTGCCACCTCGAATCGACTGGGTCCTGTTGCAAATACTGTGCAAGTGGTTACGCTTGTATCCCCTCTTCTCGCTTGATGACCAATTCTACTTTCTTCTAGCTAATGACCAATTCTACTTTCAAGCTCTCCACTGATCGATTCTCTTTTCACCGAGCTTTTACACCTTACTACAGAGTTGGAAATGCTGGCAGCATGACCCTGCTCAGGTCTCGGTGTCTGGTCAGTGGCGACAAAGTCGCTTTCGGGGCCGTGTTTATCACATGATATTACATTTTTCTCTCTTGACCTATGTACATGAACGCCTGGGTGCCCTTCTATCACTATTTGGGAAGTCACCAATTCATTCCAATTCTCAGCTTCCCCTTTTCCGACAGAAGTGAATCGTTTATGAATGTTATTTGTAATTTGGATTGATTAATGTGATCCAATATAGCGAGATATAGAGTCATATTCACCGCCAGAAATATGGCGTGTGAAGGGGCGCGAGTTGGGGCACAACTAGAACAACGTTTCCTTTCAACTGCCTCGGGATGACACCATTGCTGGAAAAGGACAGCTGTGGAGCGCTTCAGTCCATGCCCCATCAGAGACTTGCTGGAATTATGACTGTGCGCATACCAACGTATTGCAGCCATTTTGCGCAACTTAAATTAAAATTTAAAATGAGCATGACTGGAGCAAAGCGCACAAAAAGTCTCATTCTTCTCCCACTGGGAGCCTTACCCCTGTTGCGAGTCAGGAGATCCGAATTGCGGCAGCATGACGATGACGCATTAGACGTATGTAGCAGCGCGCGCGTGGCCTTCGAACCAGGAACTCATTGATAAAGAGCGAATTTGCGGCATTAGACTGAGACGACTTGCTGGGACATTCCAGGATAGACATGCTAGTTGCTTCTAGAACTCGGATCTCCTGCCACACCGGTACATTAGCATCGCTATGTTAGATAGGCTTTCAAGTATGCGAAAAAGGCAATGGTGAGGAAGTTGCAGCTGCAGCTAAGCAAAATCGATCACGCAGAAATAAACTTACGGAGAGTATTTGGTGAGAATGCAGATGTACTTGAAAAGAAGGCAGAAATAAGGCTTCTAAGAAGGCTGTGGAGGGAGGCCGTTGAAGTACAATATTCATAAACGAACTTCCTACAAGGATATGTTTTCAGACTTCCTGGAGGATTTGGACGTGGAAATGTTTACGAATATCATGCTCCTGGGCATGACGAAATCGCTCACAGCTACGGCACATCACAGTCGTTTGGAAGTCCTAGCTCCGGTAGCTTTGGGAACTCACAAAGCAGTTCGTCTGGATTCTTCAAGTCGTATTCAGTGAGTCCTTTCAGCTCGTTCGTTTTGTACATCGCGAAGTGCCAGTTTTAATGGCCGAAGATCTAGCGACACTCTGATCAAATTGTTTTGTAAAAAAAGAAACTAAAATGTATTTCAATATTTGGTCCCGATTACTGTGCATTGCTTTGGAGGCTCCAGCAAGTTGAAATGTAATGAAGTCGTGCATGATTGTCGAGCTCTAAGTGTTCCCTATAGAGCAGCGTACTTTTCCTACCATTCTGTACTCCAAGTTCCTCAACTGCCATTCTGCACGCAGGCGTAGAGGAAACCAAATTCTACTCTGTACTCAAAGAGGATGTGTCTCACCTTGTTGGGCCATTGAGAACTCGAGTGCTTGTGACTTCTGGAATTCCCTCTCGGGTCTGGGCGAAACATTCCGAAGATATCTTTGCGGGGTACAATGGCTGACTATCTAGAAACAAACGGTCAGGGTCATCGTCGTCGTTAGAACTATCGGGGCTCGCCAGCACATCTTCCGTTCTATCGTAGTCCTGAACAATAATTTAGATTTGTAGATTTTGTAGATCAAGGCGAGTGGTGACGTTATTTTTAGTATCGGATAGCTCCACCAATTTCGAAACCGAAACTGGCACGGCATAATTCCACAGCACTCGCTCACCCCTCCACTATTCACTCCGCCTCTACAAAATCGGGCATCTTGAGAAGATAAGCTATTCTGAACCTTTTAACAACTTTTCATTTGCTAAATGTTACTAGAGAGGCGTGAGGCAGCAAACAAATATTTGAAACAGCCCTTCGGGCACAGCGGAATTTTGGTCGGCTTTTAACGAACCCTCCCCCTTTTCCTTCAAGGGCTGGTACGAAACCCCGGGCCCCCGATCCGCTCCGTACGAAGTACGTCCGCAAGCTTACCGATGTACCGTCTCATGCTTCATGCTTACTACATACCGAGCCCTCCCCGCTCGAACGACTTTTTCATGAATGACACTGGATTGGCTGACTGTGGTTGTGGTTTATACTCGGCGAAAAAGTTGTCGAGCGGGCGGGGGGGTATGTAGTAAGCATGCGACGGTACGGGCGTACATAGTACCTATAACACAGAAAATTCATAAAACTCATGAAGTGAACCACGTAACTCCTAGACAGAAAGAAATACGACCTCCCAACAATGAGCAAATACGACCCCCCCTCCAAAACGTCCGCAAAACGAGAAAAATCAACTATAAAAATAAATTTTTTCCCCAGCCCAAATACGACCCTCCCCCTTTTGCGGCCTCACTAGCGACCCCCCCTTTTTGCGGCCTCGATGCACTTCCCCCCCCCCATGGGAATCCCATCGATCGCTGGTGCCCTGCCTTTGAAAAATATAGCACTTAAAAGAGACTGCGTGGAATGGTAGTCCTAATGGCAGCTACTAAGCAGACAATTAAGCAAAAATCGCCCTTTTACTAGTTTGATGAACCGTCACTGGCTAACCGACAGCGCATGGATGGATGTCGCAGGCGAAGAACTAATCAGTGTTCGTATTCCTGTAGTTTCGCTTTGCCTGAGTCCAAAATGTCCCCACAGACGACACCAGAATCTCCGGCACTGTGCTGTCGCTCGCCTCGATCTTTGGCAGGCTGAAAAAAGAAGAGAGCTCGAATAATTCCACGAAATGCTCGGGAAGTTCTAGAGAAATGTTTGCCTTGAATAAGCCGAACTGAAAGTGACTGCTTTCCGAAAGGAGGCAATTGAACGTAATATAGTATATAGTAATAACGTATTTGTCGAATTCTTCGGTTTGGACCGGTTGGTATGTAAGTAATACTAATACCCGTTCACACTCGTTGAACCTGTACTGTAGAGGAAATTAAATAAGCATGAAGAGAAGCCTGGCAGGATGCCAAATGCAAGATTTGTTACTAACTTCACATGAGAATTGGTTTCTGCCCAGTGTTTAAGGTCGGCTGAAAATTTTGTGTTCAGGATTCCTGGGACTCCTCATCCTTATCTAGCAGCGCCAAAGGCACACGTCCAGTAGCTGTGGTATCAAGTGCAAAAATTGTGAAGGTAACAAATAACCTATAGATTATTACTGTTTGCAAAAATTCAGCGAAAAGTTCATTAAGCAATTTTGTAATATTGAAATATTTCTTTGCTCTACTGCCTGAGTCTTCTTGTTATTGATCAGGACGCAGCCTTCTCAGTCGTTGACGTCGTTTACAACATTCAAACCATAAAACCTTCCGCAGGTCGGCTTTGAGGCCGATCCTCAGCTGTCCTTCTGTCTCAAAAAGGTATTTCCCTTGAAAGAAAAACTGGTGAGCAACCCGCGAAGCTGCTGGAACTACCTTAAACCCCTTATCCTTTTCTTCCCAGAGGCGATTTGAAGAAGGTCTAACCTCCCGGAAGCTTCCAAGCGTGAGGCGAGAGGGCTTCGTTCAATTAATCACGAGCATTTACCGCTCATTTATTTGATAAAATAAGAAGCATTAAAAATAGTGATACTTGGTATTATTGGCTGTGACTGCCGATTTTTGTAAGATGATGCATTCACAAGAAATTAATAGTTTATCAGGTTGAGGAAGCCTAAATGAGCGTTCCTAGGCAATGCAGGGTTTCTCTATCGAATAATGAATGACCTTTCCAAGAAACTTGCTTGACAGTGAGACGAAGAAGCTGAGCATCCAGATTCATACTATATCCATGTTTTCCATTCTCTTTCGGAATGGATCAGAGTGACCTACATTGTGATTGGACAGTATCAGAGCTACAGAGGCCGAGGTTGGTCAAGGGAGAGAGGGTTCGACATGAAATCAGTCCGTTTTTCACCACCAGGTTCTTCTCCACCACTTAATGTCGCCTGCTCGCTCCAGCAATTGGTGGAGAACGACCTGGTGCCGCGTTAAACCGAGCCCCTTGACGGCGGTTAGCCCTTCTTCAAATCTGGGAAGGAAAGGGTCAGAGCTCTGGGAAGAAAGGGTCAGAGTATC